GCGCATTCGCCTCGCAGGTTCTTGGGCCATACTACGCTCGCCGGCGGCTGGTCGCAGCCCGAGAGGCCCAGCTAGGATGGGCCCCCGGAGGGGTCCAGCTGTGTCGCCGCCAGGGCCGCGGAGATCGACCTTCGCGCGTCGCGGCCTGGGTCGGACAGGCTGCCCGTTTTCAACGAGGCGTCGCTGATCTCTGTCGGCCCCCAGGCACCCCCGTTTTTCCGAGGCCAATGGCAATCAAACGTTGTTGCAGGACGGAGACCTGCCCCCACGTACTTAAGGGGCAAGGGGTCGAGACCTCTTGGGCCCGCTGAGCGTAAACAGCAATCCGTCGGGAAGTCTTGTGAGGTGTGTTCTCCCGTCCGTGTCCTTTTTGTTGGGCGGTTGAGTCGATCACGTTGGCCCCCGCCTGCGTAATGTTGGTAATGTTGTCCGCCCGCTTGCCTCTGCGGGCGTTTGGCTCAAGTTCCACTCCCCACAGGACGTGGTAGGCGAACGTGACTATAGAACGCGTGTTGCGCCCTCGCATTACGCAAGAAGTGCGCACGTATTCGCGCGCGCGCCGCCGCAACGCCGTTGATCAACATGAAAGTACATACCGTCCTCCCGATGATACTCCCAGCCCTAGGATAATGTGGAGAATGTACATTACATTGGTCGGGTTGGAGTGCAAATCGTGTAAAACAGCTGATCAGAAACATGCCTCCGGCGACGGGTTTGACATAACCGAAAACAGTCAGGATTATGTGTCTTAGGTTTGGCCAGACGACAGCTTCCATCGCAATTGCAATGCGGCTGGCCGTGGGATCGCAAGGCAGGGGGAGGTGTTGAACGACGTCGCAAGACAAAAAGCATCCCAGAAGCGAGTGTGCGAGAAAGACAGCACTGACGCAGACTGACACGCGCACCGGACCGACCTCCCGAAGAAAGCCAAGCTGAGTTTGGCTATCATAATCGACGTGCCGAAAAACTGCAAGACGAAGAAGAGGGGGAGGGTCATCCCCAAATCGCCACCGGCGACGATTTTGCGCACCTACCATACGTGGAAGAGGTGGATGATTCAGAGATCGATCGGCACGCCTTTGGCCAACCCCGTGATGATCTGCCTGAGGGCGGTCGTTCTGATTCTCAGAATGTGAAGACCCCGTCGTGTGCTGAACGGCCCATGGAAACAGCTTGGAATCATCAGGGAACTGTTCTAGAAGTCGGTCTGGGTGTGCTTCCGGAGTTAAGCGATTTCGATCGCAGCTCTGGCATCGTCGGCACACGGGAGGGCGATGCAACGAAAGGTTCCCAACACCCGAGGAGAACAAGGGAAGATGGCGAGATCAAGAGTTTGTGTGTGGGCAAAGAGATACCAGCTGGTGCCGTCACAGTCGCCAGATCAGCCGCCGATCCCCCGCACCCGCAAGGGAAATCCCGCTCAGCCTGAACACGACAGGGAGCCCGAGAAACATGCTCGCACAACCCCAATTTGAAAATTGCAGCAGAAGGGGGATTCGTCGAACACTTCGCGTAAGAGTTCGGAGAAGGCCCTATCGCTTCGAACCAGGAGTGATCGGTGCGATGTAAGGAATATCCGGCCAGGATCCAGTGGGCCCGCGAGATTCAGCATCTCGAATACCGGCATGGTGTTTGTGCAAGAAGCTTGCTGGCAGCCTGCGCCCCGATGCGGGAGCGCGGCCGAATCGCGATGCCCGGGCCGGTCAGGGAGCTGCGCCATGCCCGCCTGTGGGGGGGGGGTTCGCGCGAGTGTCAGGGGTGCAGCGTGAAATCCTTGTGCGATGGATGTGTTCTACCAGCCCATCGCAGCTGCATGGCGTTTCGAAGCTCGGAATGTCAGGTCGCCTGGCATAGGGGAGGTCCTTGCCGCCTTCCTGAAGATGGAAGAACACAATGTGCCCCAAATGCCTCCGATGGGAGCATCTCGCCGCGAGGCAGCGGCGAAGGCTCGAGAGCAGGGCGAGATCTCCCCCGAGGAGCTCATGAGTGGCCAAGGGGACTGGGGGCCATCCACAGTTTTCTTTCCTTTGGCCGCGACCCCATTGATTTTCCCAGGGCGGCGCCAAGGTGGGCCGCTCGCGTCCTCAGCTCAGAGGAGCCAGGGCCGATCCAGAGCATCTCTCTGCCACGGCCCGAGAGGCATTTGTCCTGTCGTATCGCGGAGAGCGGGGGGCCATCGCGAGCTGGGGGGCCGCGAATGCTTGTTTCACCGGAAGAACCGAGGCTGGTTCGCCGTGGGCATCCGAAAAGTGCCCCCGGCCGAATGGCGAACGAAGGGTCGAGCCATTAGCGGGCGCGGGGGCCCCTCCCATGGCGACGAGCAAGTGGCGAGTCCGCGGCCATCAGAACCTGGGCGGGGAGTCCTTGTCAGCCTATGCCCCTGCCCTCAAATCCGAGGGCACGATGGCCGTTCTCTAGGCGATACTGTCGATGTGGCGGCAACAAAACGCAGTTTGCGCCATGGGCGCGTCTCTGGTCGGAGCAACTGCCTGCGCCGACCCAGCGGGGCGATCTTTGTGGATCCGCGTTTGGTCGACTTGATTGCTCCACTTAACGGTTGAAAGTCCCCCCCCCTGCTCCGGCGCGGGGTCCTGGCCGGGGGGGTGAGCGACCGAGTCATTACTGGGAGTCCGATTGAGTCCTGTCTGCCGGTAAAGTTCAGCCCCCTCGGACGCTTGGAGGTCCTACATGTGATCGAGGTAGATGATATCATAGTTAATGGCACGGATGCGGCGGTCGCGACCGAAGACTGCCGCGCGCCAGCGGTCTCAGCCCGGGACGCGGAAAGCGGGGGGCACAGATGCCGCCGGTAGATGACTGGCCAATGTCGAGGACTGAGTAACCGTAGACCGATAAATACGTCCGAAAGTAGTTGCCCGTCTTGTGTTTAGATCAGCTTGGAAGAGCGACCCCGAGGCCCGAGCCCCTAGTTCTCGTGCGGCGGTTGCCCGCGCGCGGTGGCGGGGTCGGCCCGGGCGCCGCGGGAAGCGCGCCGCTCCTTGCCGCCCCCCCGCCCGCAGCCCGCAGTTTCGAACGTTTTCGCAGGCCGAGGCGCGTGAATATTCGAAGGGGCGAGCGGGCGGAAGGTGATCGTTCGGTCAGTCGGCCCTCTGGGCGCGTTTCGTTATTGCTCGCGACGCCGGCCCGCCCGGGGGGGCCCGTCGGGGCTGGGTCGCGGTGGCGACGGACGGGGGCGTCAAGGAACATCGATGGCCCAAAACCGATGCGCCCGTTTCCTCTTCCTCGTCTCAATGCGTCGCGCGGGCGGCGGCCGGCGCGGCGGCGGCCGAGGCGCGCGCCCCCCCGCGACCTTCGCCGAGGCGCAGTGGCTGCAAGCGCCGTTGCGTGACGCAGCCATTTGGGGCGTCTTCGCCTTAACTTGTGCGATCCGTTCAGCGTCGCCCTGGCCGTGGGCTCTCAGATGTCTGAGGCCGCCTCGGAGCTGTCCGCGGCTGGCGCGCTGTATCTTAACTGCGCAGGGTCCAGAGCCGATCGTCGAGATTCGACAAAAATTGCGGCGGTGGGAGGCTCGCTGAGTCCAAGTGGCGTTCAGGTTCACGTCAGGCGGATGCCCCGTGCCCGTGCGCCTGCCGATCCGTCGACGAATTTAGATCCTTCAGAAGGAGATTTGTCTCTCCATGACCTCCAGCGCAGGGGCGCCCTTGCTTTGGCCGACGATCGCGTCCGCCGAGGTGGGAGATCTCAACCTCGGCCTCAAGAGTTGACGACGCGGGGCAGGCCGTCAAGCATTAGCCGAAGCAGCCAGGGATAATGCCCGAACGTTCGATGCCAAGGCGACAAGCCCGATGAGGAGGCCCTTGCCGAGGACGAAGTGGAAGCCCGCCGGAGAGACAAAAGTGAGAGGGAAAGGGGTTTCACGAGGGCTCGCCCCCGGAACCGGAGCTGCGCAGGCCTCTTCGCACTCGGATCGTGGAGATCGCGTGTGCCGCCTCTCGCGACGTCATTGCGGATCCTGCCATCTTGGCGCGAGGCGAGCTCGGTCTCTCGAACGGATGGCCCGCTGCGCCCCCGAGGCCCTCCCGGGTTTCCCCGGAGGTCTGCGGGTCCCTGGTGGGCCTTTTCGGTTTTCCTTTCTTCTTTCGCGAATGCGCGCGCGTGCCCGCCCGCGTGCGAACGCAGTCATTTTAGCAAGTGTGAGCTCACAGACGGAAGCGCGCCATGTCATTAACCCCTCTCCCCCGTGTGTCTCTGATCCCACGCCCTTGTCGTTGCCGACAGACAGTGACGCCGCCCCTCTTCCCAAGGCCAGGCTTCCATTCCGAGTAGCTTCGTTGCACCATGGCCCGGAATCGCCCCTTAACGGCCAAACGTGATGCAGCGTTTCTGCTCTGACCTTTGCCAGGGCGCTTGAGGCCTGGTGCCGTTATTTGCACAGCGCAACCAGGGGCGACGACGGGGGAGATAGGCCCAGCCGGGGATTCATCGAACCTCAATCGCCCATTTCTCGCCGATCAAGGGGCTCAGTGGCCCGCCCCGCCCAGGAACGCGCGGTTTCGCTATCGGGGGCCCCTCGCCGAACCATCGGCAGCGAATCGTCGATGCAAGGTCGACGATTCCCCCCGTGACGGAGCTCTCTCCCCCCATGTATCCGACGACGTGCGTTTGTTCACTGCGCGGCCCAAGGAAGGCCCGACCCGCTCCCCAGGGCCATTTTCTCGCCCCCCTGTTTTGGCTGGCCCCAGGGCCCGAGAATTGGCCCCTGATGCCGACATCGATGAAACACATTAGACTTTGAAACATCATATCCTCGGAGGTCGGGGTTTCCCATCACCTCTCCCCGCTATCGCCCCCCATGACGCCAGGGCTCTGCCACGGGCGGGGGGCGGGGAGCGGAACCTCGATTTTCGATGCGCCGCGCCCTGGACCGCGCCAGGCCTCCCATGATCGGTCGAGGATGGACCTTCGGTTGTCGATGATCGATCGATCGATCGGGCCTGGGCCGCGGGGGGGGGGGGCACCTTTGGACAGCACCCGCCGAG